TAGTTTAGTTTCATCCTTCGACTTTGGTCCTTGGTCCTTGGTTGTTTAGTGTGTGAGGGTGAATGTTGACTATGATGGGGTAGCAACCCGCTGCCCAACAGCTAAGGAAACAAAGTTGCTGCAGAGAGCGTGAAGCAGACAGAACATGAGGGCGCAACAGCCAGACGAGAAGCTCACGCCAAGGAATGCAAGAACTTGAATGTGGAGATGAATGATCAGGCCAAGCCCTCATGATTTCATTGCATCAAACTCAGAGATTGAAGGGTTTTTCAAGTCAATAGTCGTCTAGTGGCGTGGGGCCCTGGGGTCTTATCTGATCTTCTCAATCTTGTCATGGCATGTCATGTCGTCTTTCCTCTTTTCTTCCTCTGGAGGCTGACATCGACAAAGCCTTGGGGGCGACACCAGAGGTTGAGGAGGAGGCAGACGATAAGGCAAAGAGTGATGATGATGATTCCGGCGATGAATCGTCAGATGACGGCATTGGCTTCTTGAAGAAGGCCAAGCGAGAGAAGCCCGAGGAGAGGCCAAAGAAGCCGGCGACAAGGAGAAAGATGGAGAAACCCGATCCTCAGGATCCTGAGAAGGAAAAGGCCGCTGCAACGAAGCAGAGCCGGGCTGAGCAGTGTTTGGTTACTCTCAGGACTTTTGATCCTCTTGCCTTTTTCAATGGAAGCCAGAAGGAGAAGGACTGGCAGTCCAAGATTGACAAGGCAAACTCGCTTACCTCTTCAATGGACTCTTCGGAAGACGGGCAGGAATTGAGCAAAGCCTTACAGACACATGCACAGGACATCCTGACCGTGATGGAGCTGTTGAAGAACATCAGAGATGCATCTCCAAGTGGAGCATTGGATGATTTCCCCACCATGCCACAGGGTGATGTTCAGCAATTGGCGGCCCTTCGTGCAGATTGTCTGACTGCAGTGCTTCAAGGATGTGGGAAGAAGTTTTTGGAGGCCCCTTCTCAGTGTTTGTTAATTTTTTTTATGCAATTCAAATTCACACCAATGTTCTTTCATTCCAACCTTCCCAATTCCCAACTTACAATGTTTGGACATTTAATTAGCAGTTGGAAGTTCCCACCTTCACCATTTGGAAGGATTCCACAGACTATGCCCGCAACAGCTCCGTGTTCTTCCAGTTCCTGTCTTTGAATGGCAAAAGCAGCGGCCTGTCCTTACGTTCAATCTCAGAATGCGGAGAGTGCACTCTTGATGTGGCAGACCTGATCAAGGTTCAGTTGAACTTGTTCAATTCATGGGTGGAACGCATGAAAAATCTATCAGATGCACAGATCGACGCAGCGCTCAATGGCATCCCTGGTGATTTGTGGACTCCCCACTCCACAAGGCAAGCTTTGAAGTCCTGTATTTAGGGTGTCCGTAGTAGCAGCCGGATTAGTTAGGGCACTTGGAAATAAGCGTCAGGCGTCAGTCAGCGTGAATTAGAAACCTTGCCCAACACAGACATTTGAGCATTGAGGTGAGTCTGAGTCATAATTTGTTAGCTTCTTCCTTTTCTCAGGGCCTGGGCAGAGGACACATCATCAAGCACCTCTGTGGCAGATGGCTTTGGTATGTGCTGCAAATTGATGCTGGACTTGCACAAGTTCCTCGCGGCTGCACGTGTCCAAGATGAAAGCGCTTGCAACAGGCTATCTGCTTCTGAGATAGCTGACTTCAAGGCCGTCGTCTCAGCCACTGGAAAGGCTTCTGCACGTGTCTCATTGATCTTCAAAATTGGAAGGCTCAGGACGGACCGGTTGCCAATATAATATGTCACACACACACGCATACCGTCCCCTTTGCCTCTGACAGTACAGTACTCCTGACGTGACATGACTTACGTACCGCTATGTCTTCCTTCCTGGTTCCTGATTCCTTTTGAAAGCTTTAGTGCCGCTGTTTGGAGGGTGTGTGCAACTCAGTGAGTCAGGACTCCTTGGAGTCGAGTTCTTCAAAGCACCAAGAGGGTGTTGGACGAGAAGGTTGCTTTGGAAAAACTTGATGGTTGCGCAGCCGCCTTGAAGAAGGTCATCTCCTCTGTGAAATCCTGGTCTGATGAGAAGATTGACCCAAAGATCACTGAGCAAATCTGCCAGGACGCCAAAGCTAGCAAGCAGTGCCTCGATGTGGTGACTGTTTGCAAGGGGTCGTCAGATGAAGACTCAGTGGCCAAGGCCACTTCTCTTGAGGAGGAAGTCAAAGAGCTGCGTCAATTGATCGATTCCGAGTTCCACAGCAGCCTAGAGCTTTCAGACTTTTTGGATGGTCAATGGCAGAAGCAGCAATGTGCATTGACTACAAGTGGTTTCAGCGAGCTTGATCCTCTCCCAATGCTTCAGCGAGTATGCGTCCAAGGCGATTCGGTTTATATGCTGGGCCCGCCCCCTCATACTGTACTGGATTGGACTTAATATTGTGGGGCCCCAGTTTTGGATTTCTCAATTTTGCAATTTTGTTCAGACTTCAGACTCAGAATGACTCAGACTCATGTCGCTGGGTGGGACTAGACTTGGACAGGTGCAGTTCGTGGCCTGCTTCTACACGAGGAGGAGGTTGCGAATTCAATCCTCATGGAGTTGGGCAGCACGCTCTACAAGTTCAGCCAGGATCTCCCAGAAGAATCTGCTTTGGTTCTCTCCGAAGACATTATCAAAAGGTGTCTTGCGGTCCATGGAGCATTGGACTCACTCTTGGGCAAGTCGAAATCCACAGAGAAGTTGCCAGATTGGGTTCAACACTTTGAGAGTGCACTTGCCCGCTTTTCATCAGCTTTGTGCTCTGCGACAACCGTGTGGGTGAAGAACAAGACACAGCAGGGCGAGAAGGCAGATGTCCTGAAGCTTTTTCAGGAATGCCCGCCGCCCAGGACTTTGGTCAGTCTGTGCAACATTGCGGCAATCTTGGATCAAATGAAGTTCTTGGAAGATCTGAAGGTGCCGGAGCCCACAGATCTCTTCGAGGAGCTTTCCATCCGAATGAAGACCTTCGTCAAGGTCGAGTCACTGGATTACCCCACGCTGGCGGATTTGTTTCCTGACTTGTCTCCAACGGTGGCAAGCTACACGAAGTCTGTGCAGACGAACGTCCTAGATGAGGTGGGCAAACTCCGCAAGTGCATCCAGAAGAATGCTGAACGGATTGTCAAGTACAGGCTGGTTAGACATTGACATGTTTTCTTCCCATTCCCATACTACCTTCTCCCGCGTCTTAGTCTTTGCTGCCCATGATTCGAGGTTGCGAGCCCTTAGAACCCTTTCTTTCTTGCATGTCCAATTTCAGTTCAGTTCCACGGCCGGACCGCAGGAAGATCCTGCCTGCTGTGGAGATTTGGCAATTGGACGGGGTGAAGGACCTTTGCGTTGAGAGCCCTGAGGTAGAGAACGACATGAAGGGCCTAACCCGCTTTGTGGAGAATTGCAATGGCTTCGATGGATGGTGTCGCTCATCTTTGGCGCTCATGAAGGGGTCTACCTGGAAATCTCATGATGTATTCCAGGCGTTTACCGCCATCAAGAAGGAAATGGAGGCCAGTCTTTGCATGTTGCAGTTGCAGTGTTTTTTTCGTTTGCGTGTTAGAGTTTGAAGTTTACATTCTGCCAGCTCAATGGGGGCTGATAAACAGGTCGGTTATGGTTGGTTGGTCAAATCCATGTCAAATCCAATTCCTTGGACTCCAAGTTATTCAAACCCAATCTTGAAGTAAAACTTGGGATCGGGTAGCATTCAAAGGCCGCCCATTCCGACTCTTTCAACAGGCCTCCCGGAAAGATGCCTCAAAGATCGTGGCGTGCACTTCGTTTGTGGTCATTTTGGAGAACCCGAAACTCCAGAAGGAGAGTTTGGACGTGAAGCTTTCCCATGTTCGGAAGATCAGCTTGTTTGTCAGTCAGAAGTTTGGCCTTAGCCTCACAGACTTGCCACCGGCACTCAAGACAAGGGTGGATGCCTTTGGACGCGATCCGGCCGAAGTGCCAGCGACCAAGGGCAAGGGAGCCAAGAGGTGGCTCACAAGAGTTTGGGCAGGTTGTTGATTTTTGTTTATGTAGGCAATGTAACTTTGACATTCCTGGTTCCCGGCCTTCCTCCCATCATCCAATTGTTGTTTCGGGCCCCTTCAAACATTTCTCAGATCAATCAATCCCACATCAACTCTGTT